ATATGCTGAACAGAGTATATTCTTCGCAGGAGAGAATTTCTGTTTTGACTAGATGTCAATAAGAATTGAATCCTACACTTGAAATTTTACATATATGATGATAGGGAAAAAAAGTGTTCATAGACTAGCTGTTGGCTCCTACACTCCTCACTTATTTCTGGAGCTTGCCACAATAGGCCACGTTGAATGTGACCTTGTGTTTTATGCATTTATGTCACCGCGCCTGGTGAGATGGCGCCATGGGTGTAAAGAGTATTCCTGGAAGTCATTTCTCCACCAGGAGAGCTAGCAGTAAAGTACATCTACATGAAAGTGTCATCACCCGTCAGTTTGTTGCACTGTGGTTGCTATGATACTGGAAGCTATGCCATTGATATTTCAAATACCAATAGGATCGCCCATGGTGGACAAATTTCATCAGAGCTTCCAGGCTAAGCAGAGTAGGAAGAAAGGCCTGACAATCTACTTCTGAAAATTAGCCAGTGAAATTCTGATGGATTTTCCGAAAGAATATTGTCCATCATAGTGCTGAAAGATAAGCCCCCTAGGTTGGAAAGCACTCAAAATACAGTGGTCACAACAATGCAGTTGGGCATATGAAGGTCGTGAATATAGCACAGGACTGGACAACCTTTTGTTCTGTGGTACATAAGGTCTCCATGAGTCGGAGCCTACTTTATGTCACCTGACAACAAACATGAAAGTGGCTGCAAACCACGTAAATATATTTCACTACACCCGAACAATGTGAACACTCAAGGGTCTCTCTTAGCTGGACTTCAAAAATACTTTTAAATCCTCCAAAGCCACCCAATGTGAAAGGAAGTCAGAGCAGAGAAAGACAGGCTCTTAGCTAGTTGCAAGTAACACATCTTGTTTCAACTAGACAAAAATGTCTTACCTCATGCATACATTCCCAGGGCTCCTTGCAGGGCGTTGGAAGGGACTGTACAAGTGAAGACCCTGTAGCTTTAGCATCATCCCCTTGACAGTAAATTTCTTCTGGGAAGGAACAAGAAGAATCACAGATTAGAGATTGCCTCTCCTCTTATGTTTTTATCACTTCAACATGTTTTAATGTTTGACTAAGAAAATTATTGCATATCTAAAATATTCCCTCCAATGCATGATTATTGATAACAGGTATATCTACTACCTTATTTTTGGCTAGCGAAGGCCTCCTATTATAACTGTTTGTAGAAAATTGCTCACTCCACTCCCCATTTCTTATTTCACTTTTATTACAGAGTTGGAGACTGGAGCATTTGATTCATGGGGCTTGTTAAAGTGGGCAGGAGGGTTAGTAGAGATCCAAGGGTCCCAAGACATATCGATAGGCCTCTAAAGCATGCAACAGAGGATCTGAGTTCTAATCCCACTAGGCTTCTAATTCGCTTTGTGACTTGAAGGGAGCTTATTCCCCTTCCTGGCTTCAGGCTCCTCAGTTATAAAATAAGGACGTTGGATAAAATTAGTGGTTCTGAGGAGCCCAAGGGTTCTGCAGAGGTTCCTCACAGGCAGTCAAGCCCTCTTTCCTGCTGTTAGCACAGGAGTTTTGCTTACCCCCCCCCCCATTTCACATGCTACAGTTTCTTTCAAGACTTTGTCTTCATAAAGTTATACTGAAGAAGTCATGGTGGCCCAGTGGTTAGCACTCTACTGCTAATTGGAAGGTTGACCATTCAAACCCACCAGGTTCTCTGCAGGAGAAAGATGTGGCAGTCTGCACCCGTAAAGTTTGCAGCCTTAGAAACCCTATGGGGCAGTTCCACTGTTTCCTATAGGGTCACTATGAGTTGGAATCGACTTGATGGCAATGGGTATGGTTATACTATGGAAAAAAAAAAAAAAATGAAAGCCACTCTTTTAGATAACTTATGCCAAATGTTTAGAATCACTTGGGGAGTGTTTTAACAGTATATTACTTACCCTGAGACCCAGATTCTAATTTCATTCTTTGGGGTGGAACTCAGAATTTATATTTGTTTAAAGTTTCTTATGGATTCTGACTCACAGTTAGAGTTGAGAAACATTGTTCTAGACCAGTAGTATATAACCCTGACTGCACATTAGGATTATCTGGGAAGCTTTTAAAAAATATGGATGCCTGGTTCCTACCCACTTTGTTTGTTGTTTAGTTATCCTGGGCATAGATGATTTTATACATTCCACAGGTGATGCTGATAGAGAAACTCTAGATAATTACTACATTTTGTCAAATTCTAACAATGTGTATGAAACAATTACAAGTATGATATCAATTTCCCCATTCTCTTATAAATATTTATTGAACATGTAATGAAGACCTCATTGGTTGGGACAGTTGTCAGAGGAAAGGCAACTGGTATGGTGGAAATATCACTAGCTTTTATACACGCATTTGTGCAAATTCTCACCATTCATTGTTTCTAAAAGAATCAGAAGACTAGAATTCTTATCCTTGTCCTACCACAAACCCCCTAGCCATGGGCAAGTGGATTAACTTCTCTAGTCCTAAATTGACTCAGTCTATAAATTAGTTGATTGGAATCAAAGGACTTTGAAGAATTGATTCTAAAATTCTGTGACCATTTCCTTAAAATTACAGAATAGGACTTAATAGAAAATAAAGGCCTAATTTTCTTTAGGCCTGTAAGAAAGTCACTCTGCTTCTCATGGATCTTGGAGTATAAGATGGCCAGTGAGTGACAAATCTTAGAACACATTCTTGACCTTCAGAAGAAATGTAAAAAGCTGAGTAATAATAAGCACAAAGCTCACTACTTGACTGGGAACCAAATGCCTTTGGAGCTTGAAGTGGAAATTTGCCAGGAGTATATAAAAGTTTTCCCATTGGGTTTGGCTTGGACTTTCTTAATGTCTCCAGACAGCAACAGAGCTAGTAGTGGATGGGAAATTGTTCATTCTTTCATCATTTATGCATTTTTTCTTTTTATTCATCACTCTACCCACACATATTTAAGCAAGTACACATCCATGTTAGGTACTGATTTTGGCACTAGATAGTGTTTGGAAAGAGCCAGGCACCATGTAGACCTTCATAGAGCATTTTAGATGCACATAAGAAAGAATTCACCCTGTTTTTCAAATGTAGTTCCACTGATTCATAACAACTATGAGTTCTCTAAGGGATTTTTAGATTTTATGTGTACATTTTGATGATTATCTAAAAACTATAAAATAAGCATATTCTAAACCATCTGGAAGATGACCTAATAACCAAGAATGTGATTGTTATGGATTGAAATATGTCCTCAAAAAATATTGTTGTAAATCCTAACCTCTGTGTCTGTGGTGGAAACCCTGGTGGCATAGTGGTGAAGATCTACGGCTGCTAACCAAAAGGTCAGCTGTTCAAATCCACCAGGTGCTCCTTGGAAATCCTATGGGGCAGTTCTACTCTGTCCTACGGGGTTTCTATGAGTCGGAATGGACTCAATGGCAAAGGGTTTGTTTTTTTTTTATTTTTTAATGCCTGTGGTTATAATCCCATTTGGGAATGGGTTGTCTTTGTTATGTCAATGAGGCAAGGTTAGTATAGGGTGTATTTTGAGTCAATCTCTTTTGAGATATAAAAGAGATTAAGTAAGTGAGCGAAGAGAGATCGGGTAAGACAGATGCCAAGACACACAGAGATCTCCAAGGAACCAGGAAGCAGAAGCTGAAGAGACAAGGGAGGGCCTTCCTCCAGAGCCAACAGAGAAAGAAAGACTTCCGCTAGAGCCAGCACTCTGTATTCGGACTTCTAGCTTCCTAAACTGTGAGAAAAACAAATTTCAGTTTGCTAAACCCACCCACGTGTGGTATTTCTGTTACAGCAGCACTAGATAAATAAGACATGATTTTAGGGCCCAGATTTAGGCTTGTCATTTTGGTTACTTTGGCACCACACGTTACTACTTTGTTATTGACTAAGACGAAAATGGGGATATTGGTGGGAATGTGGTAGAATTCTCACCTTCTGTGCAAGTTACTCCAGTTCCATCCCTGGCCAATGCCCCTCAAGCGCAATCACCACCTGTCTGGCAGTGGAGGTTTGCATGTTGCTCTGACGCTGAAGAGGTTTCAATGGAACTTCTAGACTAAGCCAAACCAGGAAGAAAGGCCTGGCGATCTACTTCTGAAAAATCAGCTTATGAAAACCCTGTGGGTCACAATGGTCTGATTCTGTTACACATGGGCCCACTGTGAGTCAGGGATCTACTCAACAACACCTAACAACAACAAAGAAGAAAATAAACAGAGGCAGGCCTTATTTGCACAGAATTCAGTATGTCCACATGAAGGCCAAATGAAATAAAAATGCCAAAATTCAGGTCATGTAGTGGTCTAAATAAGGACAAGCAGTAGCAGACCATGTGGTCACACCATGTGGCAGAGTAGGGATGCTGCATTCAGAGGACCCTGTGCCAGAGCACTTGATACCATCTTCATGCGATTTAATTTTAGCAAACCGTTATCCTTTGTAGCATTCTGTATATTCCATTTTGGATGATAAGGGTTTTGTAGCATTGTTTTTAGTTAAGTTTAAAATTTGTTTTGGTTTTAGAACTTTGTAGAAATGATAAGTTTACCTAGATTTGTATTGGCACCTAATTAGTAATACCAGTATAAAAATACTGTTTCAACATTGGGGGTTTGGGAAAGCTTTTATATTTTAAAGGGGGTTGGTATATTACTTAAGATTGAAAAATATTTTTCTAATTTATGTCACTTTCCTATAATCAGTGTTTAACAAGTTCATCCCTCCCATTAACTTGCAAGCTTCTGGAATGTATGTTCACATCTTACTTGATTTTGACTGTCCTTTAAATTTCTTAAATAAATGAGTTGATTGATTAAAAACCAAACCCATTGCCGTTGAGTTGATTCAGACTCATAGCGATCCTATAGGACAGGGTAGAACTGCCCCATAGGGTTTCCAAAGAGCGCCTGATGGATTGGAACTGCCGACCTTTTGTTTAGCAACCAAACTCTTAACCTCTGCGCCACCAGGGTTTTCTTAACTGTGGTTAGATGCCACAAAGTAGGTGGCAATGCCTTAACCGTATACTTGTTGTAAGGCTCGAGGGCCTGTTCCGTCCTTGTCAAGGGGAGTGCTAAACCTTCTCTCCCTTCATACAGTGCAATGTAAGTTTCTTAAATAAATGAGTTGATTGATAGTACTTAGAATATTCTAACACTCACTAGGGCTACCTTAGAGTAGTAAGGTCTCTGCCAAGGGAGGCATTTAAGCACAGGCCCTTGCTTGGTGGAGATTCTGAGCCAATCGAGGCTCAAGCCACGTGTCTACCAGGGTCCCTTTTAACTCTGAAATAGAAAGTTGAAACTGTTTCTTTTTGCCACTACCTGTCTGAAAATACAGAATAATTGAACTTGAGATTTTGTTTTTAACCTTTTCAGTAAATTGTATAAACAATATTATTCTACCCCTCAAAATGAACTTCTGGCTGGGCTTAATTTCTTTTCCCAGACAGAGTCCAAATTTTACCCTCAGGCCTTTGATAGGTTTTTGTGTGTCTGTCTCCCAAGGATGTTGGAATTCTAAGAGTCATTTGGAAAATGGCTTCCTAGGAGTCCCTGTCCTCCCATTTGTATGTGTGTGTGGATGCATCAATACCTATCATGAGCGATGGCTGCATAAGACGAGAGGGCTAAAGCAGGCATCCATAGGAACCACTTTTGTCCAGAGGAAACAGATTTTTAGAGTTGCCAGGCGGGTGGAAACATACAGACAGCAGCCAGCCATATCTCTTCATCAGTTGATTTTTTTCTTTTTCTCTCAGCAGTTAAATGTGAGTGCTTCTCTCTCAACTTGTTTATTTCAGATGCCTCAGGAACAGTACACACACCACCGGAGCACCATGCCCAGCTCCGAGGGGCCACAGGTATACAAAGTGGGGATTTACGGCTGGCGGAAGAGATGCCTGTACTTCTTTGTCCTACTTCTGATGATTTTAATACTGGTGAACTTGGCCATGACCATCTGGATTCTCAAAGTCATGAACTTCACAATTGTAAGTAAAAAAACACAGGATTCTCTAGCTTTCGTTGGGGGCTCTGGGGGGGATGGGGCCAGAGGAAGGAATTTCAAAAAGTGATGGGAGTAGGGCTCAACCTGGCGCTTTGGTTAAAAAGCTTTTCTAATTCTGATTAAATGTGGAGATTGCCTTTTGTCCAATCTCAGTTCTTCAGAGTCTGGTAACCCAATTTAGAGGCATTTCCCTCTTTGGGATCTCTGGTCTGTTTTCCTTCCATTTTGATAACTACGTTTGGGTATTCTATAGCTTGCAAGCACTTTGAGTCAACAATGCAGGAAGAAATATGAGATAAGTTCAAAGTATTAAGTTTTCTTGAATTTTAGTGTGACTGGGAAAGGTTTTATCTGGTACGGGGTTGAAACATTTAAGTGAAATGAGACTTTGGGGATTATCTAAGAATTTTAACTGTGTGTTTACACCTGGTAGCCCATCACTGTAGCTGATTGAGAGGCTCCTCAATTTTCAGGAGAGCAATTCTCTTTACTGCTGCATGGTTTACATTTTACGTGTTGTGTAAGAATTTGTGTTTACACTTATGTGAAGAATTTCTTGCTATTGGTGCTTCAAGGCGACTGCACAGACTGGACATTTACTTCTTGAAGTTCAAATGCAAAGACAACCCTGGCAAATTGACTTCTGGAATTGCTCTGAGGTTATTTTTTCCTGGAGGTTCCTGGTCTACCCTAGCAATATCAATAACTGAATTTACAAAGGAGGGGATAGTAGAGAGTAATCTGCTACCCTGAGAATACGTTTGTTTCTTGCTTTGATGTCAAAAATAAGTTATTAGGTTGGCAATAAAAATGTCCTGTTCGATATAGGTATATGACCATAACACAATTAACAGTAATATTTTCGTGTGAAAACCCCAAATATGATAGTGGAGTTTGGCCTTTTCCGAGTTATAAAGTTCATTTTTTCCCCAACATCCTATGCAAAGTCGTACTCCCATGCTCTTATTCAGGCAGTTTCTTCTGCCTGGGCTGCATTTCTCTGGCCATTCTGCCTGATGAAACCCCTCATGAATTCTCCTATACCCACTGCCGTTGAGTCGATTCCGACTCATAGTGACCCTATAGGACAGAGTAGAACTGCCCCATAGGATTTCCAAGGAGTGGCTGGTGGATTCGTACTGGCAGCCTTTGGTTAGCAGCCGTAGCTCTCAACAACTGTGCCACCATTTATATATTGATTATCATAGTTATCATTCCAGATAATAATTTTAACATGTATTTCCCAGACATACTGAACTTTGAGAAGGGCAGGGGATATGTCATTTCTCCGTGTGCTTCATTCATTGTTCCTGGTAGGGGACTAGACATGGCTTACTTTTTAATAGTTGTAGTTAAAGCTAGGAAACTACCTAATAAAAAATTACCTTAATTTTACATATTTCTGTTTTGAGAAGAAAAAAATGTTCAATTCGCCCCAGTCTGGAAGACTATGAAGTTCAATTTCTGGGGATTGTGTGGGTCCAAGGTTGTGTGGGTCCAGAAGGCATTGTTGTTAAGTGCTATCAAGCAGATTTTGACTCGTAGTGAGTCATGTGACAGGGTAGAACTGCCCGATAGAGTTTTCTAGTCTGCAATCCTTCAGAGAGCAGATCAGCAAGTCTTTCTCCCACAGAGTAACTGGGTGAGTTTGAACCACTAATCTTTCAGTTAGCAGCTGAGCACTTAACCATTGTACCACTAGAGGTCCTTTGACAGGCATTATTATCCCAAGGCTCAGAGAAGTTGAGTGACTTGCTTAAAAACACACGGTAAGTAAAAGAGCTGGTATTTGACTAAAGAGCCCAAACCTTTTCACTGCACTGTACCGCCTCCTAATTGCTAGAATATTGAAGCACATTACCTTCTGTTTCTCAATCAGACTCAATAAATACTTTTTGAACTTGGGCTTACTTTTTTTATAAGCAAGGAGAGTGCAGAGAAGAGTTTTAATAAGCAGGGGAGAGAGATGTGATCAGACTTAGAGTTTGGAGAGCTTGCTTAGGGAGGAGATACAATAGAATGGGGGAGGCAGAGGCTAGAAAAGTTTTTTTACAGGTTAGAGCTGTACGTGGTGCCCCTGGTCCTTTAAGTATTAAGTCCAGGTGACCACAATTGCTGTTTGTTCGTGTGCACGTTCTGTGATGTTCTTCAAAAATGTATAAAGTGGAAAAGCTTCTGTTTTTTAATATTAAATAGGAGAACACTGAAGTTAGGGCAATTGCATGGAAAATGAAGATTGAAGCAAACGTTAAAAGAAGGAATTAACAGAACTTAATTACTGATGGATGTAGGGGTGAGGGATAGGAAGATGTTCTGTAAGACTTCCAGTTTCTGATTAGTAAGGTGGTTATATGATAGACCCCAAAAGTCCACATAGAATCTATTACTTTCCCACCAGAACTTACCTGGAACTCATGTGTTTCCCTAGTCCCCTACTTGGGGCTATTTTTTGTAATTTTACCTTGTCTGGCATGATTTTAATTTTTAGCACCTGAAAGCATTTTAGGGCTGAGAGTTGGGGAATATGAACTCAAACTTTGATAACTGTGATATTATACAAATACGGCTTCTAGAGTGTGTTTTGTCTGGCAAGCTTAATAGTAAGAAGTGGATGTGAAAGTATATGTAAATGTCTATCTAGTGACAGTTCACTCTGGGTGTATGGAGCTTGGGGAGCAGTATGACATTAAGGTAATAATCTATACAAAATCGGCGATTTCCTGTAGTTAACTAAATTGACTGCTAAAGTTAAAAGTCTGTAAAGCTTTACCAAACTAAGTACTTGCCGAGGTGAGAATAATGCCATTATTAGCCATAATTGGTGCTTTATAACAGTAGTACGTTTGAGCAAATAGAGCTGAAGTGTTGGAAAATTGGTCTTGCCCTGAAAGTTAAAAGCATATTTTCCCGTCAATCACAGTATAAAACATTCTTTTAGAATTAGAATTCTATTGCATAAATAATAATTTTACCAATAGCAAAGATCTTGAAAAAGAACAAGGTATTAACAAACCAGTGTTATACTGGAGAGCTGTGGAGTGAAATGGCAAAGAAACCCATTGTGGTCAAGTCAGTTCTGACTCAGAGCGACCGTATAGGCCAGAACAGAACAGTCCCAAAGGGTTTTCCAAGGCTGCAATCTTTTCGGAAGCAGACTGTCACATCTTTCTCCCATGAAATGGCAAAGGGGGATGTGGAAATCAACAAGGTAACAGTTTATCATTTTATGGGAGGATTTACAAATATTGTCAACAGGAGAAGAGTGATTATTTTGTGCACTTGGATTGTTCAATAATTTGAGATTTTGGAAAAGCTGACGTTGTATTCAAATCCTCTGTGTAATAATGAACCAAAAGAATGATGTCATCTGAAAGTGTTCCTGAGGACTTGGCAATCCAGAATTTTACTTTGTTTTCAGACTTGCATTCTGCGCCATCCCACGGATATATGCTGGAAGAGCTCTTCCAATATAGCCATCTGGACAAATACCCAACCAAGTTTTCTTTGTCCCAGATGTATATCAGGAGAAAAATGATATTGTTCTCCTTTGCTCTTAGCAGAGTATTCTGGTGTTCATCACTGGGCAGAGGAGCAGAGCAAGGTTATATTTTACTCCTCAGATTGCCCCCATATTGAAGAGGGTGTGGTTTACCTGAGTCCATACTGCAAACACCCATCAGTCACCCAACCCTAGATTATCACACAATGTGCTATATGAAAGAATGAATATTTATTCAGTGTCTAGTCTGTGCTTGGCACTTAAAATCTATCACATTTAATTTTCAAAACAACTTTACAGAAGGCGTTGTTATTACGTGCTGTCAAGTCGATTTTGACTTGTAGTGACCCATGTGACAGGGCAGAACTGCCCTATTGGGTTTTCTAGGCTGTAATCTTGCAGATCAGCAAGCCTTTTTCCCACAGAGTGACTGGGTGGGTTCGAACCGCTAACCTTTCAGTTAGCAGCTGAGCACTTAACCATTGTACCACTAGAGGTCCTTTGATAGGCATTATTATCCCAAGGCTCCGAGAAGTTGAGTGACTTGCTCAAAAACACACAGTAAGTAGAAGAGCTGGTATTTGACTAAAGAGCCCAAACCTTTTCACTACTCTGTACCGCCTCCTAATTGCTACAACATATAGGCTCTTTAGCAAAATTCTGAAGCTGGCAAAATTCTGAAGCTGTTTTTATTGCCCATCCTGTGTCATCTGCTTATAAATTTTCCACCTGTCTGGGGCGCCCAGTGACCCGATCTACGTAGAGTAACAGCCTGGTAGTTGGGAATGTTCTGGATTTTATCTCACTCTCTTTGTATTGTAGTCAATGACCCTCTCCCTCCCTTAATTCCACCTTCTCTTTTATCCATTTGTTGTTGTTAATGTAAACATTTAATGTAAACTTAATAATAAAATCAATGTCATAGGTTGGTATGAAAACTCAATGAGTTAATTCATGTAAAGCATTTACAGCAGGGCCTGGCACATAGGAAACACTGAATGTTGGCAACAGAAAGTCATGAGAGGCCTTACACACAGTGTAATGGTTAAGAGCTCAGGCTTTAGAGACAGAAGGCCTGGGTACAAATCTGGGTTCTGTTACTTACTGTGTGACCCTTGGCAAGTTTTACAACCTCTCTGTTGCAATTTGCTGGTAGTGATACAGTACTTACCTCATAAGATTGCTGTAAAAATTAAATGAGGTAATGATCACAAAGAACAATGAATAGATGGAACAGAGGTTGGTATATAGAAAGTGATTTATTTAAGTGGTTACTATTACCGCTGACAGTTATTTCAGGTTCATTCTGGGCCAAGCGTTATACTGTTGTAAATTGCATATGTTATCTAACTTAATCCTTTTGAGGGTTGGTACTATTAGGATCATGGGGATGATGCAGGACTGGACAGCATTTCAATCCATTGTGCATGGGGTCCCTATGAGTCAGGGGCTGACTCAACCGGGTGCCTTCGAGTCGGTTCCAA